GTCTGACCCGACCTGACCTTATCAGGTCGGGTCAAGTCAATTACCCGACCCGACCCGACCTGTTCGGAGCTCTAATATAATGTATTAGTTGGTATTGATCAAGGTGAAATTATCTCTCTGTTTTTATAGATCATTTATTATGATCTATTATTATATAAAATATAACAATCAAATTTAGGTTACAACATATCTTAAACTTGGATTCCTGATCTCAATGCTCTCATCTAACAATCTGACTTTGTTAACATTGCTACTACAGCATATGGAAGCTTTGTAGTAGAAAGGGAAGAAACTCTAAAAAAATTAAAATTTTATTTTCTAAGCTAATTATGATTTTTTTTAGTAAAATAAGTTCAGATTTAATATTAACTCAAAAAAAAATTTTTTAGAATTTCCTTTCTTTTTACTGCAAAACTCCTATATATGGATAATATTACTTGGATTTCAAATAACACTTCTAATCTAGAACAGATTATTGATATAGCTGATATTTTTTATTAATTAAATAACATTCAAGTTAACTTAAACAATCTTTTGTAATTTCGATGATGCTAAATCAAAATCAAAACATCAATCTAAATTTATCTACTATCAGAAAATCAATTAGCATTCTAACTTATTATAGATTTAAATCGGTTAGATACTTATGAGTTTGAATTAATATCAACAATAACAAAAAGTTCATTATCAATCAACTAAAAGATATCATTGACAATTTTATTCTCAAAATTAGATTCAAACCCATGACTGACAAAATGGTATTATATTCAATAACATTGTTCTTATTCCAAGATTAGAATATAAATCACAATTAACTTTTCTCTCTAAAGCTGAATATAGCAAACTTTATGCATTGATTAGATCTATCATTAAACACAAACTTAGAATGAACAAATACCTACCTAATAGTATCTTTAGACATAATCTAAAATATACTTATAAGGAGTTCTATAATATTCAAATACAATCAAAATATGATTATTTTACAAAATTGATCAACCAGAATAATCTTACGGCTACTATTTTTAGAATTCGTAATATACAGTGAACTCTTAATATAATGAATTCTAGGATCTGGATATCAACTTCATTATAAGCTTATAACGAATTTTTTAAAGAATTTAATTGGTTAGTTCACTATAGTAAGGTAATTTTAATATATTTGATTTAAAAATTTGTTATATCAAAGGTTCACTATATCAAGGTTTGACTGTATGTTTGTTGATTTTGATCATAACATTTTCTGCCTCATCTAGGATTTTCCAAAATTTGTGTTAAAAGTTAAATAAGTAGATTCTCCATAAAATCTACATTTATATACTCATAGATTTTTTGTAAATTAATAAATGTAACCCTGAAAATATCAACGAATTGACTTTCAATATATAGGACTGATAATAATTTTCTTCCCATTCTAGTAAAACTTAATGGTAATTGTCGATATATCTGTTGAACTAAAATATTCTTAAATTCATATGATATTCTAGGTGGAATTTTATCAAGATTTCTGAGGCATATTATATTTTTTAATTGTATTTCAGTATCGTTTGAATCCTTTTTCTGACTTAAAATTTCAGAAAAAATAGGGCAAGTGACCAAAGGAGTTGAAGAGATAGAAGTTATATTTTGTGAAGAAATAGGTTGTAAACTTATAATTAAAATCAAATTTCATTTATTTAATATCATTAGCAAAATTTACCACAATATATTTACCAAGAAAGATTGAAATGTTAATTTATTTAATTTTTAACAATACCGATGTCAAATGACATGCCTCAGTAGGCTTAAACTAAATATGTTTGACGAAAATCTAATGGGTTTGAATAATCTATATGAAGGATAAACCCTCAAAAAATCATCAGAAATGAAAATAATTAAATATGGTTTAATTGCCTTTATATAGGGCCGATTAGCCCATTTCCAGCATAGTAAATCATATGATCCGTAATGTGATTTTACTGGAAACGCTCCCATATGTAGAATAATACCATTCAAAGGAAATGCTAACTTAAATTATTATTTTTCGCCAAGTTGCACTTAAAAACTAAACATCTATAAAAAAAAAAAAAAAATTAAAAAAAATCGATTTTTAGAGAATCTTTTTCTTTTGCATAAACACATTTTTTTTGCCGTAAAAAAAAAATAATGATCGAGCACATGATGTCTATCAATTTCTTAATAAGTGGGATAGAATCAATTAGTTACACGAAATTTTTTTATTATAAAATTGATCTACAGCGAGGAGACTGTCTTCCATAATTGGTAAGCATCTCGTAATTGGTTTATTTTATTTTAAATTTTTTTTTTCAGTAAAAAAAAAAAATTCTACTATTTTCACAAAAAGTTCAGTTTGCTACAAAAGACTTGTTTCAATTTTTTCCATAATGCAAAACAAATTGGAACAAAGAATATTGTAGATTAAAAAAAAAAGAAAAAAAATTTAAAGTAATTAGAACATTTCCATTAACGAAAGACTGGTTGAGAATCACATTGAGTATTGGGTAAGAATTTGTGAAATAGTTTTTTTTGTAGTTCTAAATATTATAATTTAATGTATTACGAATTTTTTCTTTGTCACGTTTTAATCAATTTTACAAATTTGGATAAGATCGGAAATTAAACCTTGTCTCCTAATTTTAGACGACAAGTAGTTGTTTTGTTGAAAATTTGTCTTTGTCGTTTAACAAAGAATGTAATACTAGCAATGTAAGATCCTGATTGGGAAGAGATTATACACATTTATATATAAACCCTCCGAAAACTTCTTCAACCCTCATCCTCAATTCTTTACAAAACGAAACCAATCTACAGCAAGACTTATATTGTGCCATACTCTCCGGAAGAGTTTATCGATTTCATACACAATCTTTTATTCCATTTCTTAATCCCTTAATCTCTTCTTTAATTCACCATCTTTTTTCCTTTCTCTTTCCAAACATGAATACATTTTTCGCAATTATTTTACTTTTTGCAATTACTGTAGCTGGTCAGGGCCACATGATTTCACCTTTAATCCGTATTCCACAAGGCGATGTAGAAAATAATTTATCTATTACTCGCTCTCCAACTTCTTCATATCCCTGCGGATCAGGTCAGAATATTGGTCGTATTCAAACACATTACACTTCTGGACAATCTATCAACGTCGAATGGGAAATCGGAGTCGCACATGAAGGTGAATGTTTTTTGGATCTTTCAACGAATGGTCACGATTCTGATTTCAAAACCATTGGATCAATTCCAAATTGCGCGGATAAAATCGGTGAAAATTTCCAAACAAGCATTCAATTACCAACCGAAATTACTTGCGATCATTGTACATTGCGTTTCAGATGGTTAGCTAAACTAACAGGCGAAACTTATTTAAATTGTGCTGATGTATCTATTTCAAATCCTGAAATATTATTGAATTTACAAAAAACAAATCGCAAGCGTTGCAGAAGTTGTGTTACCAAAGGTAATACATTCCGACGTTAAAATTTAGAGACGCATGTCGGATTCTAATAAATTTGAAAATGACATTATCATACAAGTTTTTTTTTTAGATGTATTATACATATTCATTCCATTCATTCATTTGTAAACTTACATTATAGATTAGTGTTAGCATAATTTTTTCTTCAATGTATTATTTCTCATATTTTAATTGCATTTTCAATAATTCATTTAATTCATTTGCATTTTTTTTTTAAAAAAATAAATACTGATGTGCCATTTCAATTATTTCTTTCGGAACTTGAATAATTCTTTTTAATGATATATTTATATCGATATAGTATCATAAGAGAACATATACAAATTTTGTTAAAGTAAATGGTGATGTTAAGATTTTTCATTCTTATTCGCAGCTACCCATAAATATATCTACAAATAAATACCAAGAAACGGATTTGGTTCGAAATCCCGAAGTTCAAAATCCCGATGGTACATTATCCAGACACCCTAAAACCCGAAATGCTATAATCACGAAATTTCATAATCCCGAAATTTCAAAATTGAAAATTAATAAAAATAATAAAAAAATATCTATTTCCGAAGTATCTAATTCACGAAGTTATATTGAACAATATTTTGAAAAAGATAACGTCAACAAAGAATCTTTTACAATTATTACTTCTATGCATTTTTACACATCTACTGATTCAAAAGATGTTACTGGAGTATATCCGTGATATATAGTTCGGTTATTGACATAAAAATTAGTAATGTTAACTAATTACATACAGTTGTACAGTTGTAAATTAATTATATATTAATCAAGGTACTTATTATATAATATTTAAAGTTTTAATTAAAGTAACAATAATAAAAGCTATAGTGCAAGTGCTTCAAGAAAAACTCTTTCTCCTTGTTAGATTTTTTCCAAGAATTTTTACTTTAAAAAAGTGTCTGTTCAACGGTTGGCCATGGCTTAGCCTGCGAACAAAACAAAAAACCCCACCTTTCAAAAATATTCCTCTCTTTGTTCTCCACACTCCTCTTCACATAAAAATTTACGAAATAGTCTAAACTGGGTTGTTTTTGTTAAAATATTTTTTCTTCACCTTTTTTCGATAAATTTTTTCTGTTTTTTTCTCTTTTTCTTTTTTGCTTACAAAAAGTAGGCATCAAGGGGTATTCGAACCGACAATCATGATCGACATACTTTGGATAAACAAATCTTATATGATGATCCCCTTTCCCTTTTTAAACAATACACTCTCTTTTGATTGGCCTCTGCCTTTCTACAGATCCTCTGTTGTCAAAGGTCACGTGCAAATTTAGCGTTATTCTACTTTGATATCTCTGGACATCATCTATTTGGAGTGATGGTAGCTACCACTTGGTCTGATATTTTTGTTGGTCTTCACAAGTTTGAAATAGAACCACGGGTTTCCTTTGTTGTTAAGATCCTTACTCAGTGTAAGTTCGCTTCGTCTAGATCCATACCTCCCTGGTAACCAGGTAAAGGGTATAGGTTACTATCTGTAGATGTCTTGTAGATTTTTTGTAGTAGATTCCATATGATATTTTTTCTGTACTTATGAATCTATAAATATGAAACGCCTCTGTTTGGACCTTTCTTTGGACGCATCCTCTTTGGTCAGGTGGTTGTTATATCCAGAATTAACTGAACATTTAGGTTTTTTATAGAGTCATGTTTAGTTGTTTGTAAATTTCTATTTGTG